CAGTGGCACAGACAGACATCCACTCGCATCCTCCAGCATCAGCAGCACCGCTATATAACCAGAGCATCACATCGGCGCAGACACATTAGGCTTCAATCCGCAGGACTTCCCACACCACGAGGGGCATGAAACTATCATAACAAGACATTCAACAAATCATAGGTATGTGATGTTACTGTCTTTATTAATACTGTCTGTATTTCACTTTTGTGTTGAACTATTTAGACTATTAGCTCGAAATCATTCAGATCATTCTTATAATGAAGATGGTTGTCCTCGTTGAACTTAGTTGAACGGAAATTTAATTATGAAGGGCATATATCGTGTTAGCTGATGCATGTATAAATGAAAATATATTTGTTAAATTGGTGAAGTGCCAACCTGCACTGATAAGTTTATTGCACCTTTTCAACCACTTTGAATTGCATTAACTGTTGAGGAAAATTTAGCAAACATTTAAATATAAGGAAACAATCATTCTACAGTTTAAATGTATAAACTTCTACCTGATATACGGTGCAATATCTGTTGTTAGGAATAATACGATTCAAGTTAGGATATATCTTGTTGTTCAGTCGCGTTAAGCAGGAAGGCAGTACCAATTTACTTTATGAGAATATTCATTCAAACTAATTTACTCTTAAAAAAATTTAAGGTTCTTCAATGATTCAGATATTTTTTTCTTAATACCCATATAATAAAAAAAGACTTATATTTCTTGCAGTTTTTAAATATGTTTTTCTTCAGTTTGCATCATACTGTAGGAAGCACAATCCTTCAGTATGATACAAACTGAAAAAAAATTAATCCATTCTTTATTTCAAAATGTACAACAGCAAGGGCTCTATCTGATTAGGAAACACTGATGGTGTTACATAATAAAGCTGCATAAATAAGCAGCTATGATTCATCCACAGGTGATGTGCAGTCTAGTGCATGTCATACTTTAAGTGTTGCATGACTCTCTTATGAAAGACTATACGGAGAAATGCATATTTAAAGGCTCTTATGTACCATTTTCAGAGTTCCAACATGACGAAGTCTTACACTGAGGAAAGCATGATGCTGGAGTCTCAAACCAACTCAAACTGGACCGACAAGTGTCACAGCAGCTCCCAAGACGAGCGAGACGTGGACAAGACCGACGAACCCATGCACAAGGACATGGAGGAGGAGGACGACGACGATGTGGAACTCAACCGACTCGAAGATGAGGAGGACGAGGAAGAAGAGGAGGAGGAAGAAGACGGCGATGACACCAAGCCGAAAAGACGAGGACCCAAGAAGAAGAAGATGACAAAGGCACGTGTGCAAAGGTTCAAAATGAGGCGCATGAAGGCGAACGCCCGGGAGAGGAACCGCATGCACGGTCTCAACGATGCGCTCGAGAGCCTGCGCAAAGTTGTGCCGTGCTACTCCAAAACGCAGAAGCTCTCCAAGATCGAAACGCTCCGTCTGGCCAAAAACTATATTTGGGCTCTTTCGGAAATCCTGAGGTCTGGCAAAAGCCCTGATTTGATGTCTTTTGTGCAGGCCTTGTGCAAGGGCTTGTCCCAGCCGACGACCAATTTGGTCGCAGGATGCCTCCAACTGAACCCCAGAACTTTTCTGCCCGAGCAGAGCCAGGAGATGCCCCCTCATATGCAAACAGCAAGTGCTTCCTTTTCCGCTCTTCCCTACTCCTACCAGACGCCCGGTCTTCCCAGCCCTCCGTACGGTACAATGGACAGCTCTCACATCTTTCACGTCAAGCCGCACTCGTACGGGAGCGCGCTGGAGCCGTTCTTTGACACCGCGCTCACAGACTGCACCAGCCCCTCGTTTGACGGGCCTCTAAGCCCACCTTTGAGCGTCAATGGGAACTTTTCCTTCAAACACGAGGCTTCTTCGGAATTCGAGAAGAACTACGCCTTTACCATGCACTATCAGGCGGCGGGCTTGGCCGGCGCGCAGACACACGCGTCTCTTTACGCGGGCTCTACGCAGCGCTGTGATATACCGATGGAGAACATTATGTCGTACGACGGGCACTCTCATCACGAGCGGGTCATGAACGCCCAGCTGAACGCGATATTTCACGAGTCGTGATTCTAATGGACATTTGTGAGACTGCTCGTTACGTTATTCTGTTATGGCTGATGCAAAAAGAGCAACAACATTATATGCTTAATCCTATGTACGTATTTATTGTTGTTACTGCCTTTAGGAGAAAAGAGAATTCGTTTATTCTCGTTCACCTTATGTATTGTATTCTATAGCGCTTCTACGTTGCGGTCACACACAGGAGGGAACAGGAGTGACCTTCTTCAGAATGTGTTAATTATCCATGCTACAAAATCACAAGCAATAATTTGGAAACTATGCAATTTTTAATCCAATACTGGGCCAATTATAGAAATGAATAGAGATTGATATATTTTTCAACCTATTACATTTTACTACTTATCTATCCCATACTGAATTATTTTGTTGTGATTTTGTATAGAATTGTTAATTTTTATAAAGTCAAATCCTAGCATCATTCCATGCAACCCCCATGTTAATGTTTTATAAAACTGATTTATCTCCTGTGTTTATATAAAACAGTACTCATTCCAGTAATAACCAGCAGGCAAGTGCTTCAAAATCTGTAATGTTGCCTTAGCAATTAATTACTGTAAAATCATGCAGAGTTGCACAAATCCCATCCTCTGAATCCCGTCTAATGTTATGTTCAATCAGTGATCCTTTGTGGAATTTCGAATCGCTTGAATGATGGGGGGAAAAAAAAATCGGTGTTAGAGTCTCAGTGTTGTACATAAAAGCTTGACTATCACCTTTTAAACTCACCCTGTGTAAAAGCTGATCGAAAGGCCTGTCTTTCTAAGATGGAAAATAAATAATGGACTGAATTAGTCTGCTCAAACTATTCGGGTATTTTCGACTGAATTTTTATTGGCTGTGACGAAAGAACAAACAACGAAGATGCAACCAAAAAAACAAAAAAGAGGGAGAGGTTGATTTAAAAGTGATTCTTGAGACTGTTGTATGTGTGTATCAGTTCATGATGAAGGTTTAAGAAATAAAACAGATGGTTTTGAATTTAACATCAGTATAATCATTTATGTAAAATACATTCACCACGCCCACCCCTCTAGAATAATGATTTACCTTTATATATTGTGATTTTTATTCTATTAACACACATATTTGTTTAATCTAATTATTCAGGAAGAAACATAATACATTTACAGTAACAAATATTTTGTGTGATGAATCTGTAACTTAGACTTCTGAAACTGTTAGCTAAAATTTGGGACTGTTAATATGTAAACTCAAGGTCATGTGAATTTATACGCTTGAATATTATTAAACACATTTACAGGATATTCGCTGTCAGTAGTTTGTAACATAATCTTAAGATGCTGTAACAATTTGGTCCTTTAGTGCGCAATACGAATGTTTCTTACCTGAATGCCAAAATACATATTAAATCCCGAACCCCGGAGGATCCCGATGCAGAGACACAATATAAATGCACCTCCAAAATTGTGACATTACCCAGGTTTATTTGAAACCAGAAAGTATCCTTAAAAATAAGATCTCATTATTACACGAATGAATGACATCCCGTTTAAAAAGCATTTACGCAGAGTTTACGCAGATATCCACTTTTGTATAGAGGAGGTTTTTTATCTACAAACATATTTGGAACTTCAAAATACACACTGTATCTCTAAATACCCATAGAAGAAAAAAAAAATCACATCATACATCAGTGTATATGAATTTGTCCTCGAGTCGTCTATAATCCACAACTGTTCGTGCCTTTCTTGCAAACACAATCTTTTTAAAATATATTGGACATTTGTGTTTTATTTGAAGAGCAGAAAGCCTTTGCCCATTATTAAACGAAGTCCAAGTTGTCACACACGCAAAATATAGATTATAAAGAAGACAAGAAGCTAATGTGTGTAAAAGGAGTTATTGAAATACCCCAACACATTTTGGACGAGCATAGAAGATAAATATACAAAAAGACAACTTAGGATGAAAGTAAAAGAACACAATATAAAATACAATCTAAAATCTTGTAAATAAAAAATATAATCTAAAATCTTGTAAATTCCTGTAAAGTAGTCACACTTGCGCGGGGTGAAATATTTTAGGAGGCTAGATAGAGCAATATGAGAAATCACAACTAACACCGTCCATAGGCTACTATATTGTTTTAGTTCATGCGACTTTAACATTGAGACTGTTGCATATATAGACAAAACATTTTTAAAAAATCAGCTGGCATATGGAGAAAATTCCACTGGGCCTCAGAAGCTTTGGCAACATCCAGGAACTGTCCAAGGTGCTGCCGGAGGAATACTTTTCCACACCCGTTCACTTAGTAGGCCTATGATGGCTCATTTTTTAGCCCACCAAATAAACCAGACCTCTATCATGAAATATATGGAAAGAAATTCAGGCGTGCATGTCCGAGGCAGCTTATATTTGTTGAAATTAAACAAGTTTAAGCTACATCTGAGTGCCATCAATGTCTGACAAAATGAAAAGATCATTGTTCACTTTTCTATTGCAAGCCGTCGTTTATTTTCTAAAACTAATATCCATGTGCAGTAGACTACATTACATTAATATCACTAATAAGTAATGCAATAAAAACTTTTTGCCATTTAATTAGCTATTTAGGGATATGTTCAAATATCAGCTATTCATTTATAGTAGGCCTATCATGCATTCTAACTCTTTATACTAGAGGTACTACTAATTAGTATAATTTAATTAACTTATTTTTAAAATCTCTAGTGTCTTTTCCAATGGGAATTATTATCTTTTTCATTGTCTAGGCTAACTATTCATTAGACATGAGACATATGTTAAAACGGCTTGTCATAGTTTTTCATATTGGTACACGTTTTTGAACGATTTGTTGAAATAGTAATAATAGACCACATGTGAGTGAGGGCAGCGCGCGTGCTCGGCTAAGAAAGTCCGGTGGGCGGGAGCGCGCGCTCTCGAGGTGAATGGAGATGAGGAACTTCCTCAGGAGCCTAGCGACCGGGAGCGCGCCGAACCGGTAAATTAGTACACAAAGGCGAGTTTGCCCCGCACACATTCACATTATGTTTGAATCCCCGTGTAAATCGATAAATGTCCTCAACGCGTGGTCGGAGAGTCAGGAAGAGTTGCGCGAGACGCAACCGGCGTCTCTTCCTCGCAGGACGGGAAAGCGAGTCAAGATAAAAAAGAAACAGCGAAAAGAGCAGCAAAGCGATAAACGCTCCGTCTCGGCCCCTCAGTTATGCGTCGACGACGACGTTCAGGGTCTAAAAGAAACGAAATATAGACCGGACGAACCAATTGTGAGAGGAATCTTCCAAATCGGGAAAAAGAGCCATGACGTGGTTCTCACAGCAACGCGGGTAACATGGACGCCCATTCAGCCCGAGACCCCTACAGGTGAGCAGCGCTGCCGCTGAGCTGTGTTTGCCCCCGTTTCCATGGTGATTGAACGCTACTCATGTTTACTTCCTGTGTGTCTCGAGCTCAAAGTCATATTAGCAAACAGTTTATTATTTATCGTGTTTATAGACACGACTACGCCTCGCAAGTAAACATAAGTAGAGACTGTAAACTTGGTTTTATGAACGTTTAAGAATGAATCGTGGTTACACTTTATTTTAAGGTGACGTAGTTACATTGTAGGCCTAGTACTTACTCTCAAGTAAGAGTGATTATAGTGATGTTAATTAACTAACGTTACATGTAACTTACTATAGAGTAACAGTTATTAGGGTTAGGGTTTGGTTTAAGGTCACCAAGGTTTACTTGTAATTATGCATAATTTACTGTTATTACTAATACTGTAGTAATAACATGTAACATGTATCAACGTCACCTTAAAATAAAGTGTTGCCTGAATCGTTCTAGAATTTAGAGTTTTAGAATGATAATTTGGTAAAAATTTTGGTTATTTATGTTTCTTTCTTGTACATCAATACAAACACATCATGCACAATTACAACATGAGCTCTAGACTCACACATCAAGAAAGTTGCATTTTCAGAAATATATGGATTCTTCCACCAAACACACATCACTGCATGCACAACAAAGTGACCTCATCCACGAGGCCATTGCTTCAATGACAAAAGTTTGTCTTTGAGGTCATTTGATCCAAATAAATGTTGCAGATAGCCTATAGGCTAGCTTCTGAGAATAGCTGAAATTATCTAATATATTTTGAGATAAAATACATTTAGCCTATGTTTTATGCATTTGGCAGACACTTCTATCCAAAATGACTTACATTATGATGCATTCATAATTAGCATTGCTATACCATGCTCTATTGTTTGAGTTTATTGTTTATGATTTCCAGTTTTGTCCGAGGCGATTAAATCCATAGTTTTTCAATAACTCTCTATAAGTCAAGGGATAGTATTTGAGGTAAAAAGTCCCCTTGTTACACAACATTGAAAAGGTTCACTATATAGTCTCTGTCTCCTCTCCACCAGTAAGCTGGTGTGTGGTGGGCGTTCTGGCGCAGTATGGCTGCCTTCGCATCATCAAGGTGGATGCCATTGGTGGTGGTTGAGGAGATTCCCCCTTCTCCATATGTAAAGCGCTTTGAGTACCCAGAAAAGCGCTATATAAATGTAACAAATTATAAATATAAAAAGCCATTTTAGATGCTTTTTTAATAAAACTAAGCTTTGGACTAATATTGTGCTGCTCCATCAGTATTCAATAAAATATATTTTGATTGTTTGAAAATATCAGAACCAAAAATAAGCATATTGTGGGCGGGCCTTTAGCTCCGTTGTACCCTACTGTAATAATTACACAAGCAAATAGGGTTACAACAATATAGCAATTCAAATAAAGGGGGGAAAAAGGGGGTAATGTCAGTTCTGCCAGAAACTCATGTGTAACAGCTGTGTTGGTAATGGACTCCGGCTGACTGTTGTGACCACCTAAAGTAGGGCATCTGTCAGTCTTGTGGACAGTTAGCAAATGTCCAAGTAAATGATACTCAAAACTACCATCTGCATCATTACTCTAAGAAGATAACCATATGACTTTTTAGGAGGATTTGATTTTCATATCGGATATCAGTGAAACCCAAGGGCTGCATATGTAGTTTTTCTCTTTGGGTAATATTGAAGGAATCCAACATTTAATCAAGACACTTTAAGAGAATTATATGCAGAGACTAACTTTGTCATTTACGTGGAAACCGCAGCGGTATCAAGAATAAAGTGCGCATATAAGTTGCTGCCTTAAATTTTTTACTGTAAGTACAATCAACTTGAATGATTAAGTCATTTCAACTTAAATTGCATTAAACCGACTTTAAAAACTAGTTGAATCTTGTATAACTTATAAAAAAAGTTGTTATTTAAAGTTGTTAAGTAACTTATTTTGATGAGTTAAAGCATTGTAAAACATATGTTGTCATAACTTATTGATCATATAATTTTTGACTTGATGTGTGATTTTTCGTTTGCTGTCATCATTGAGGCATTCATTAAAAAAAAAGCCCTCAGAATTTGCTGTGAGAGAGCGGACTCCTGATTTACGCTGTTTTTATTGATCAGGAAACAAAAATGAAACAATTTTGAAACACGCCCAGCAGTTTGAAGCTGAGGCATGTACTTCCTGTCTTTGGCTGTTGTTTTGTGCAGGCACTTTAAAGCATGAGCGCTGCCGAGTGCAAGAGAGCCTTTCAGTCAGCGTAAGCTTTATAGACAGTACTTTTCATCTGTGATCCAAGCTAATGTTATTAAGCCAGAGCTCTCATTACACAGAAAGCATTCATCTAATAACCCCCTATGGCCTTTACCAAATGTTCCCTTGAAAATGCCAAAAAATGACAGTGAGATCTCGATATACTGGGGTTCTCTATTTTTGACGCTCATGTGCTTTTTTTCCGCCGAGGGAAAACAGATCAGAATATTGCCCCTGATCCCTCAATACAGACAACTGAGAGAGATTGGAGGACATTACCCAGCAGACAAACACAATATCAAATTACTTGATTGCAATGTGGCATTTCAGTGCTTGTTTCTATGACAACACTGTGTGTTGGATTTCAGTGATGATTTGATACCTCTGTTTACTTCTCCCGTTGCTTAATTTCTGATTATGCATTTTATTTGTGTTGTCATATGCTTTAGACCTACAAAACAAAAACAATTGCGATATACACCAAAGGTGGAGTTTCCACCAAAATATTAGAAATGAGAAAATATTAGAAATGTTTCTTGAGCAGCAAATCAGCATGATTTCTGGAGGATCATGTGACCCTGAAGACTGGAGTAATGATGCTGAAAATTCAGCTTTGCATCACAGGAATGAATTTTAAAGTATATCAAAATAGACAAAAGTTCTTTTAAATTGTAATAATATTTCAAAATATTACTGTTTCACTGTATTTTTGATCAAATACGTAAATGCAGCCTTGGTGAGCAGAAGATACTTCTTTCAAAATTGAATTATTCAAAACTTTTGACTGTTAGTGTAAATATATTTGTTATTTACTCACTCTTTTTTCTTATTCTTTGGAACACAAAATGGATTTTTGAAGAATATTCAAACTTTTCTAATCAAAGTGAATGAGGACCGGAGCTATCAAGCTCCAAAATGATTAAAAAAAACACCAAAAATAAATTGCCATTGATGGTCCCATGAATAACCATTCACATCCATGGAACCTTTCAATTACACAAAATGTTCTTTATAGTGGAAAAAGTTTATAATAATATTCACACTAGAAAAACATGGTTCTTCAGTGAACTGATCTCTGAAAGGTTCTTTAAGGAACCCAAAATAGTTATTCTATGCTGGCATCATTGCAAAAATAAAATAAAAAAAATGATGGAACCTTTCTTTTAAAGAAAGATATAAAAGTAGTCCAAATGACTCATGTGCTATATTCCAAGTATTTTGAAGCCATATGAAAGCTTTGTTTGATGAACAACTGAAATTTAGACATTATTCACTGAAAATCTTGCCCTTTATTGTAAATTGCATTAAAATATGGCATCATTAGGTTTGTCCTTAAGTACTTTAGTGACACTTCTTTGTAATTTGTTGGAACAAAATCATATGGGTTTGGAGCGACATGAGGGCGAGTAAATGATGACAGAAGTTCAATTTTTGTATGAACTATCCCTTTAAGACAGCACTAGCCAGGGCTGACAACAGGACAAACTGTGAATAATATATAGAGTTTCTTTTTTTAGACGTCAGCACTATTTCTACCGTATGTAATAAAAATACCGCTCACGAGGCATCACCTACAGCCCGCTGCCTATCCAGAGTAAACATGCCAGTTAGCTCAAATGAAAGTAGAGCCCGCTGAATTGGCCTCATATTCAGCCGCAACCACAGAAGAGCACGGGAGACTGGGATTGTTTGCCAAAGGGATCTGGGTTTGACTTTTTGAACCCTGAATTTGCTTAGCATTGGCCTTGGCTTTACTTCAGTTTGTCTGTTGAATGTACAAACACCGTGATTTGATCTGGGTGCCAGAGCAGTTCACGCCTCCAGTCCACGCAGTTCATTTAGATCACTCTGGTGGGTTCATGCCATGTGTGTGCTGCTTTTACCTCTGGCTCTGTAAAGTATACGAACAAAGCTCATGGGGCAGAGATAGCAAATGTATGCTTTTATTATTATTTTTTTTTAATCATAAAACTGGATACAGAAGGCAACCAGTTGAAGTAAAGTCTGCATGTTGCTGAAAAGCGTCTACAATGTTTGCACTGAACTTTACTGCTTAAATGAGGGCTTATTTGAGGAGATGAATCCATCCACCTTATTTTGCAACACCGAAGCTATTTTCTTTGAATGTGCAAGACTTCCCATTCATTAGATGACAGGGAAATAACTAGAAGAATGACAATGAGCGTAAACAGTAAAACTATTTGCACTACAAACCAGTTTGTTTATGATTATGATAATTAATTAAAATAGTATGATAGCAATTACCAGTTTGCATTTGCAATATTACAGTTTTTCTCAATTGCTAAAACACTAAAACCCATTGGCTGAACAAAGTTCTCAGTTGCCTGAACTCATTTAGCTAATTGTGCATTCTGTTGTCAATACCTTAAACTATTTCACATGGCAAAACACAATTTGCAGATCTTACTTAGACTTTTCAGCAAAACGCTAAACACATTCTCATTCTCAAAACATATTCTGCACTGTAATGCACACGTCATCCATACTGGTAAACACAAGTGGCAATGATCAAATACAAATAGAGAACAAATGTCATTGATTGAACACAACCACTCAAAATTGATTTAACCTGTTTCAAATGATGCCCAAAGACAAGAAGAAGCACACTGATCACGTTTACTCCTTTGATTTTGGTCCCTTTTAGTATTGTATACTGTAGTACAGTGCATTGTAGGCTGTATACTGTACAATGAACACATTATATGGTC